TGACCAGGTAATTAAATTTACGAGTTTCATTTTTATTGAAAAAGCTGCTGTCAATGGTATCAAAGAGCCTGGACTTTATTTTACCGTGGGAAATAGTTGTGTATAAAGGCTCAAGTGAGCTTTTCTGATCACATTTTGTCCGGCGTCCGTCTGTCCGTCTGTCTGTCTGTCTATAAACTTTTCACATTTTCGACTTCTTCTCAAGATTTCCACTAAACTTGCCACAAAGCATCGTTGGGTAAAGGGGATTCAAGGTTGTTCAAATAAAGGGCCACACCCTCATTCAAGGGTAAATAATTGAGAATGAGTGAAAATTGGTGGTATGATTTAAATCTTCTTCTCAAGAACCACTGTGTCAGGAAAGATGAAACTTAGGGGGAAACATCCTGGTAGTGTAGGAATAAGTTTGATCAAATCATGTCCTCCGGGAGTAGGGCGGGGCCACTATGGCCGACAAAAATTTGACAAAGAAATATATAGGAAAATTCTTTAAAAAATCTTCTTCTCAAGAACAGCAAAGCCATAATTGCTCGTATTTATATGGAAGCATCCTCAGGTAGTGTAGATTCAAGTTTGTTCAAATCATGACCCCCGGGGGTAGTGCGGGGCCACTATGGCCGACCAAAGTTTTATATAGAAATATATAGGAAAATTCTTTAAAAATCTTCTTCTCAAGAACAGCAAAGCCATAATTGCTCATATTTATACGGAAGCATCCTCAGGTAGTGTAGATTCAAGTTTATTCACATCATGACCCCCGGGGGTAGTGCGGGGCCACAATGGCCGACCAAAGTTTTATATAGAAATATATAGGAAAACTCTTTTAAAATCTTTTCAAAAATAGCAAAGTCTTAATTGCTCATATTTATATGGAAGCATCTTCAGGTAGTGTAGATTCAAGTTTGTTCAAATCATGACCCTTGTGGGTGGGGCGGGGCCAAACTTTTGGATTTAAACTTTTCAATAGTAAACCAATTACTACTTTTTCCTAGCCACAATGCTCTGGTGAGCGATGTGGCCCATGGACCTCTTGTTATATTACAGTTTATTAATATTAAAAAAGACAATGTTCGATCATGTAATTCTGTGTAAAGTATTTCATTTGAAATAGGAAAAAGGGTAAAATTAAAAAAACAAACAACTTTTATTGCTTTTATATATGCCGGTGTACCTTTGTAAGAAATCTAAACTATCCAAATCTCGTGTCAATACAGCGGAGTTTATACATGTACTAGCATTTCGACTAACCGCTAGGGGGAGGAAACGAACGACAACTCAATCATCAGCGGTAGTGGTCTTTTACTGTGTTAGAGTGTGTCCGTGCATTTGCAGATACGCACCACTTCGTGTTTCGCATGACAGACCTTAATCTGGTTTTTGACATTGCCTTTATCAGTAAAAATAATTTTTTATAGGTATTTCGTTAAATTATTCTATAATAGTTTTACTGTATATGTAATAAGATTAAATATAAATATAATTTAAAAATATATGTCTGACATGTACGACACAAGAAAATAATTTTTTTTCACATGTTCTTCTGCATGCTCGAAGTTGCTCGTCAGCTGAAAATTAGGGGAAATGATTACAAAGGTCATGTAAAAATTACACATTCTACAAATATGAAAATTTTTGTAAATCTTTTTTTAACCAACTGACTTGGTATTCTGTTGTTAAATTTTTTTCTTCATCGGGATCGGGATCGGAGGCATAGTTGGTATTTTCATGATTTGCATAGAATAAAGTGCTGAAAGTTCAGATTTCCTATAAATTTAATGAAATTTTTGCAAATTGAAATTCATTTCTTAATTTTTTTTAATTTTAAAATCATTCAAACCTTATATCCAGTTATATATATTTTGCATAATTTCAATCGCGCTCGAAATACTTTTCGTAGTTATCTTCCCTTATTTGCTCTCTTGGGTCACAGACGTTGTCAGTGTTTGGGTATTTTTGTGCATCAATATTTATTTTATTCTGTATAATTTCACAACAAGGAATGTTTATTCCTTTCATCTTCTGGACTTAACTGCTTAGAAATCCAAAATTGAATGTCGAATTCGATCTTTTAATTTTTAGGTGGAATTGCTACATGATGATGTACAAAAGCATGTACACACACAAGGTCGAGATAAAAAAAAAATAAGCAAGTTATCTGATGTAAAACCGCACGATAATCCTGTACCTAAAGAAGTACCTGCAGCTCCTCCTCCACCTGTGTTTCCAGTATGAAAATGACGATTTTTTAATAACACGCACACATAAAAATGATCCAGTGAGTATATTGTTTTTGTCCTGTCTTTTTGCGTGTCTATCTGTTGTCAACTTTTACCTGGCCAATACATGTATCTCTTGTGCTGTCAACTGTATACCACTTCAGTATACGTCCCACGTCAGATTTGTACCATCGGGGGCAAAGTGTATCACAGACATATTTTGTTCTATAGACATGCTTTTAAAGAGCAAGAGCCACTTTGTGCCTTATTCGGGTCTGAGAATTTCTGAGAAATAAAAACCGCTCTGTTTGGGTTACAAATGCAGTATTTATCACTTGGAGTGTTGGTGATCACGTAACTATTAATCATAACGTAATTTTCCCTCTCGTCTAGGTATAATGACATCATAAATGCGTCATTTTCCTCATATCCTGTAAAGTCCTTTGAAAATGGCCTAAAATTGAAGAATATTTTCAATATTTCATATATAGCACATCCTCTGATTCAAAAAATCCAAATACATAATGTAAGATCTGTTTCTGAAGATAAAAAAAACGTTTTATTTTTTGGATCGTGGGCTGTGCTCATTGTGTATAATTAGTTGTATGTGAAAAGTGTTTGGGTCATAAAATGTATTTGTTGTCTGTAAAGTGTATTGTGAAAACTTCTTTTGTAAAAGTTGCATTGAGAATGTAAGATATAAGTGTGTGCATGTGATTTAAACTGCCATTAAAATCTGCGAACAAATACAAAAGCATTTATATGTTTTCATTAGATTTTGTATTTTTTTCATTATAGGATATACACACATTTTTTAAAACACATCTATTTTTGTAAAACTATTATAGTTTTTTGTGCATTTTTTATAATAGTACAAGGAATTCTTGAAAACTGCAGTGATTGTATGTGTAGTCTGTTGAAATAAACTTTGAGGTAATCTTTTAAATTTCAACTGTCAGAAAGTACAATATGCAATGAACATAAAACTATTAATTTTCATGTGTTTTTACTTCGTACATTTGCATGGAAGATTATTTCATTATGGTTACTTCTTTGCATTTTCTTTTGTTGAAGTATGTTATCTATACCTGTCACTTATTACATGTAACACAACGGACTGGTTTTTGTCATACTATCTCTCGAAATCAATGTTTTACAAAAACATTCTTTTCTTTCTATAACAAGTATAGAAAGAAAAGATGTTTATGTAAAACACTGATGCCCTCATATGACAGGTTAGTTTCACAAATGCAAATCAATGTCTAAAGCCAAAAGATCAAAAATGTTACTCAAGGAAAGGAGTTCTATCAAAGGATATACCTGGTAAATATGAAAGCTCAAGAATCGACCATTAAAATTGTTCGTCAAGGTTAATAAAAACCGGGTACGTATAATGTGGCAGTCTTGACTCTAAATTTGATTGCAGTTTGTTACAAACATGCCCACAATGTGTCCTTTCAAAATCATTTTTTGCAAAATATAAAAAACCTAGCACCAACTGTTCAAATGTTGAGACGTAGGATAATATTCTCAGAAGTAAATAGGTTAGTTTCCAAGGTCAAAATTATTGGTATCGAAATTTAATTTGGAAATTTGGAAGCCATAATAATGCAAAAGTATGTCAAAAATTAAAATTTTATAAAAATCGGATCAAAATCTAAGGTCAGTGTCAAACATTAAGGTCAACGTCAAAAATATTTTTTACCCTAATACTAATTATCCAAAAGTATGTCCAAGGCTGATGTTTTATAAATATCGGATAAAAAAAATCTAAGGTCAACGTCAAAAATATTTGTAACAATTTTGAGCAGTAGGTGCTAGCACGAAAAAGATCCTCGCTGTTCAATGGCACTGTGTGCCGAGTAAAAGGCAACATTTGTAGCTCTCCATCGGTATGTGGTTGCGTCTCAATATGAGTGCAAACTTGTCAAATCTAATCTATTGGCCTCAGATTAATTCAAAAGTAGGTAACAATGACCTATTTTACTGAATTTTGCTGGTAGCAATTTTCAATTTGATTTTGATGCATATCTTGATCATCGTATTTTATCAGTTGATGCATCACATAAAGAATGTCACCCGAACGTAAGACACATTGCCCTTCTTCCCGTGTATTTGGGTTATCATTTTCAAATGTTTGATGTGATTTATTTCTGATACTGAGAGGTTAGAATCATGAAACTTAGTAAGTCGGTGCATGTTGATCATACCCGGTATATGATAAAGCATAGCTTTATTATAAATTATATGATCCCTCAGCAAGAATATAGTCTTAAATTACACAGCCAAAGTTCATTCTGACATCAGAAGAGGACAAAAAATCTTACCATAATCCCGACAAAGACATTGTCTACATGCTGAACATTTTAATCACTCTAAAAATTGTTCTATGTAATACTAGTATATGACCTCAATCAATGTTCTGTGACATTGAAGAAGAAATTGTCATCATTGAAAAAAAATTTAACTCAGCGCAAATGACGAAATGGTGACTATTGAGACAGTTTCATGCATCTCATTGGCTGTCTACTTAGCCCTAAATTTCAGTACATGACATGTACTAGATTATAATGCTTGATAATACACTATCAATTCTGTACCAAATACCACCGCGTTTCCTTTTGCAAATACCAAACATATATTTTGTATTCAAAACAAGTTTAGGGGATCAATAATTATGTGAAACATACATGTATATTTAAATCGAATTTTCTGGATAAGGTCATACAAATATTTACTGTGGATTGCATTTAAATCACGTGACTAGATACAAAGGTTTAGAATATAGAACTAGGAAGTAGATTAAGTATTCAATACAAAAAGTCATCCATGTTGGATTTAGAGGTAAATATAAATTTGTACACAATTTTAACTATTTATTTTGCAGAATAGCAATTATTGCGATTAAAATTATGACTTATCAAAATATTGTAAAGAAATTTATTTAAATATTTTGTGAAACCGCATCAGTCTAAAAGAACAGTTTTGGGGTTGGTCCTCTATTCCACCTATTACGTGTACTTCCTTATTTAAGGTGATACTTTCTATCTGTTAATCAATGACAAATTTATAAACTGTAAAAGTTTTAACTTTTTAGCTCACATATATAGTTTTGGGGATACTGTAAAAATAAATTTTTGAACATGTTGACCTTTGACGAAACCTTAATTAGTTATTCAGTATATCTTCTAAATATGCCATTTTTGAATACTCAATCAACTAATAGCTAGCTATTAGCTGTCTTCTAGCTATTCCCACATTTTAAAAAATCTCAATTCCACCTATTCTCACTTGCAAATAACAATAGATGTTTTGATTAGTTAATTTGTTTTTACAGTAATTAGAATAATTACATCCCATCTTAGATTTACCTGTATTTTACCAGTATTTTGTACATTTTAAGACAGAAAATAAATATATTTATCTAAAAAATACTATTTTATTTGAAAAAAAAAATGCATATAAATATTTATTTCATTTGAAAAAAAAATAATATATGAAAATAAAATCATATAAATAACTGGAGTTAAATATAAAATGCATGTACAGAAAAATATAGTAAAAAATATACTTAAATTCATTGAAATATATACTTATGTATGTGTAAATTAATTATGAATTTTTCTTTAATTTTTTTTTTAAATAGTTATTAATAGTTATAGTTATTTCAATTTAAAGATCAGTAAAAGTCTTATGGAAAATTCATTGGTGATTGAATATTTGCTCAGTTATAAGATCAGGAATGATAAATGAAAATAATTAATCTGCTATTTTTATTTGAAAAAGTCTAATTCCTCATTGAAATAGAAGTAAAAAGTCAGATTTTTTAATTTAAAGTAGCATATTTACCTGTCCTCTATTCAAACAGTGGTTTAATAATTACTGTTTTCACAGTCATGACATGTTTATTCGGCTAATTATTTGTTTACACAAAAATTCCACCTACTCCCACATGAAATTTTACTTTTTTCTACCTGATTTTCCAAAAGTGGGAATAGGTAGAATGAACCTGTTTCTTATTTACAGTCCCATCTGTCCATGTGACCAAGATAACAATGGATCCTAGGTACAGTGCCCAGGATATCCTACGCTGTGACCTGTGTGAGACTGCTTTGGTTCAAAGTCATTGTGAACTTTGTCACATTAACTTGTGCAAGGCTTGCGTTGGGGACCACCTCTCTGATCCATCAAAGAATCATAGAGTCGTGCCATACAAAGCACAGACCTCAACACCAAACTATCCAAAATGTCTAAACCATGCTTCGAAGCTGTGTGAGCTTTTCTGTGAGAGATGTGACATTTCTGTTTGTACTACCTGCGTCTCCTCTGAGAAACATCATGGACATGCATTTACAGATATTCTACAAAAACTTAGCTCAAAAACAAAAGAAATTGAAAACGATTTGAAAGAATTAGAGAAAAGAATATATCCACGATACGAAGAAATTCATTCCGAGATAAAAATTGAGCAAGTCAACTCAGCAGAACATTACGAGAAACTGACAACAGCCCTCACCAGTCATGGAGAAGAATGGCATAGAGAAATTGACGTTATTGTCAACAAACTAAGGTCTGTAATTTCAGATATGAAAAATAAACACCTAGCTGCCTTAAATCAACAGGAAAAAGAACTCACACTGAATATTTCTGAAATGCAAAAGAACATTCTTGAAATGAAAAACGCTCTTGAAGACAAAGATATTTCTTTTATATTTTCCTCGTTCAAAGTCAGAATTGCTGAATTAAGAATATTTCCTCCGAAGCTTAAATTTTCATTGCCTACATTTTCTCCTCAACCGATCAACAAAGAAAACATTTCTCAACAATTTGGATTTTTAACAAATTTAACAATGACAACTGAAAAACATGGTTACGCAATAAAGACATCAGAAGCTCTAGGTTCTCCAAACACATCCTTGCTTGCTGTGCCAGAGCTAATTACCACAATAGTCACTGGAAATAAATATCCGCAATGCAGTGTTACATGTCTCAACGACAAAGAAATATGGACAAGTGGAAAGGCAATAACCATGAAACTCTACAACCATAAAGGAAAATTAATAAAGGAAATCCAATCCGAGCTTAGGGCATACCAACACGACATAGCAGTGACAAGGAGTGGGGATTTAGTATATACCGAACCTTATACAAGAACTGTAAATAGAGTAAAGAATGAACAAATACAGGAAGTAATTAGATTGCAACATTGGATACCTTACAACATTTGCAGTACCATTTCTGATGATCTTCTTTTAACTATGGACAGTGATAATGGAAAACAATCAAAGGTTGTGAGATACTCTGGTTCTACAGAGATACAAAGCATTCAGTTTGATGACGAAGGTAGACCGCTTTACTCGTCTCATTACCTTAAACACATAAATGAAAATAGAAACCTAGATATTTGTGTAGCTGATAAAGATGCTCATTCAGTGGTAGTGGTTAGTCATGGAGGAAAGTTCCTGTTTAGATACACTGGTCATTCTAACATCGCCTCTGGATCATTTAATCCATATGGCATAACAACAGACAGTCAATGTCAAATACTTACAACAGACGCTGACAGTAATCTCATCCATATCCTAGATCAAGATGGACAGTTCCTCCGTTACATTGAAAATTGTGATTTTTGCAATCCATGGGGTTTATGTGTGGACTCTAAAGACAACCTTTTTGTGACTGAGTGCTTCAGTGGTAAAGTTAAAAAGATCAGATATATGAACAAAATGCTTTAAAAATTGAAGGTGCTTGTAACAAAGAGTGTTGTCTTTATGATATTAACTCAAAATAATTCGAACACGTGTAAAATATATCCTATACCATTCCTATTCCTGATATTTCTTTCTGATTAAGTTGGTGTACTATCATTTCCACCCTACCCCACCTATCCCCGCCTGCGTATATAAAGGAATCTTCATTAAGTCACTCATCAATTCAACATTCATTTGGCAAATGAAATAAAACTTATGTTTTCGAACGAAAATTCAGGTTCTCTACTAAATTGTTAGAGTCACTTAAGTCGAAGTATGATTTATAGATACTCAGTAAAAAAATGTGCATCACGTCAGTGGTGTACGTACATTATTAATTGCATCATCCATGCAATGTTTGTCAAATAAGGACTCATAGTTAATTTGAATGAACGGCTTTAGCCTTATTTGTATATAGTTACATTGAATGCTTTTTCTTAGTCATTAATCCCGAAAAAAAATATTTAATCCTTTGTTAAAAGGATCATTCTCTATAAGGCCGTTTTGCGGCCTACAATGACTTCGAAATTTCAGATAGTATTTATTTTTAATGAAATATGGTCACAAATAGGGATGTCAAAATTGTCAATAATTGATATTCGAATATTCGATAGGAGTATTGGGATATATTCGAATATTCGATAGAATAAATACATTTTGGTTTATGAAATAAATATCTTCACTCTCCTGTCAAGTAGTATAGATTTTATGCCATTATTTTGAATAAACTGTCGTGTAGAGTTCCGAAAATGCCCTACAATTATTTATATTTTTTGAAATTATTTAATAGTACGTACACATCATAATCTAATGATTGATTTTTGAAAATTCAAAGGATTCTTTAACGACGTTTAATATGACCTTTCTGCACTGAAATTTGTGTCTTAATTAAAATTTACATCTTCGACGTTTTCCCTCCAATATTTCTATCCAATGAAAGCATGAAACAAAATGAAATCTAAGTCTGTTTTAAAAAAGACACTTAAAAATTGTGACTAAGAAAAAGTTTCAAATTGCTTCGCATAATCAATTATTTGACCTTTCTGCACTAATAACATGTTATTTTTCCGGCATTGAATTAAGAAATAACCCAGCAGGCACGCAACGTTGTTTCAACGTTGAAAGGAGGTGGAATATAGGTTGCAACGTTGATCAACTATATTTCAACGTTGTTTCAACGTTGAGGTTTCAACGTTGAATCATCGACCTTTTTTAAACGTTGAAACAACGTTGAAGCTGCAACATATTTTCAACGTTGAATGTTCGTCGATATTTCAACGTTGAAACAACGTTGAGCCTGCAACATATTTTCAATGTTTAATGTTCGTTAATTTTTCAACGTTGAAACAACGTTGAAGCTGCAACATCATTTTCAACATTGAATTTTCGTCGCTATTTCAACGTTGAAACAACGTTGAAGCTGCAACATATTTTCAACGTTGAATGCTCGTCGATATTCAACGTTGAAGATTCAACATGTTTTCAACGTTGAAAATTTTCTGATATTGTAGAGTTGACACAAGGTTTAAAAATGCAAAGTTGACTGCTTGTTGATTTCAACGTTGAAACAACGTGGAAGATGCAACATATTTTCAACTTTAGAAGAGTTAGGAAAATTTAACGTTGAAACAACGGGTAACGAGTATTGAGCACTTTAGTTTTTTAGGTCAAAATATGTATGGGTCTTAAACTTTTAATCCATGCGATTTTTCGCAATATACACGCAGCTGTATGCAATTGTTAGAAAATATTATATATATAATTAATTAATTATACATAATAAATGAAAAGCATGCATTATGAATTGATTTACTCATAAGAGTTGTGCTAACAGCCACATGTAGTACCAATATAGAATTTTAAATTTGAGTTTATATGAAGTATGACATCTACATTTAACACTTCATTATAATTATGTTTCAAAAAAGGTTGTTTTTTTTTAATAAATTGTGAAAGCAGTCTTTTTTTATATACATATTTATAAAATATGTTAAAAATAAGTTTTTAAATAAATAATCACATCTTTATCCAACATCTCAATGTAATATTCCATGTTAATTACTATAGAATTAATAAAAATAATTATTTATTCCAAATTACTGTTCTAAATTAGACTCATATAGATCCGTGTCGTATACTCTTGTGCAGAATGTACATATGTAGAGCGAATCTAAGAAGTCTTATTTTATTAGATTGTGCTTTTGTTGTGTGTATTAATTCATAATTCTTTTCACAAAATATTTAAAAATTCAAATAAACACATAACAAGTCAAGTAGCATTACTTAGATATCCACTCCCCCAAAACCTTCAAGATATCAGATAACGGGATAAGGAGTGCCTCTCGCTTAGTTGGTCAGTTTCAGTGTCAGGATAACCTTGTTATGCAATTTTCTTGCTGGCCAGAGTATAGCTGTTGGCAGGTTATCTAGGTCAAAATTTGAATTCAACTGATGGACAAGAAGTGCGCGTCTCCTTGCTGTTCATATTTATAATTTCATTCATATTTATAATTCATAATTTCTTATAAACATAAAAAGGGACTACCAAATTATGAATTTGGTTAAGGTTTTCAATCCCTAATAGGAACAAATTCAATGAAATTGAATACATAACATAGCAGAAGGCACCGAATACTCCGTATATTTAGACATGCATCCCATTTATTACAATTAGTATGAATAGTGGGATGTGTCCTAATTTATGACCTTGAATTTTAGTCAGAGTTATCTCCCTTTTTTTATTAATAAAAAAAATAAATTATAAAAAAAATTACGCAGGAATGTTAAGGTTACAACCAAATATTCTTCTTGCCTTTATGCTATGACGTCATAGTAAGCTATATGACGTGAGGTTTAGAGTTAACAATTTCCTTAAAATCGATATCTAAGATTTATTTGAGGTCGTAAAAATTAATTAAAATATATATAGGCATGATATAAACAGAAATCTGTCATTACTGGGCCTCTTTAGTTATCACAGGGGTTACATACCAAACCCGTGACGTCATAACTGTTGATCATGTAGTAGAGAGTGAAAGTGAAACGTAACGAGAATTCATCTAAACAAACACTAGAAATCGGAGATCTATTTAAATCATTTAAAAGGAATATCATGTGTGATTCATGTGGGAATAAAGCTTATAAATAAGGTATGGTAATATAATTCTTCAATAGATAGTTTCCAGTAGACCCAAATTAACAAGAGTTATTTCCCTTCGGCCACCATATTGTGGGTCAACCTGCTCATATTCCTTCATTATTCAACCAACTTTAACTTTTTATACTGACTATTGTGGGCTGGAAAGCATTGTTTTTCTGACAATTATACATTTGTTAGAGCCTCCTTTATTTCATAATGTTTATTTCATAACGATTTTCCCCCAAATATTTCTGCTACACCCTCGTATATTTGGTAGGACAAAAAGGGAAAATTACCTGTTTGACCCACAAGATGGCGGCCAATGGGAAATAACTCTTGTTGATGAAAACTATCTGTTTCTTCGTAAAATTAAAGCAGGGAGGGTGTTTACTTGCCGATCAGCCTTTCCTCTATCGTTTGTAACAAAAAAATGCAAAAGTTCAACACTACGCCGCATACCGTGAAACTTAAATTTTGTTTCCATTTAAAGGTCTTGTTCTATTGTTTTTGGAAAGTGCTGCTAGAATCGTATGGTTTACGGGAATTGATGCATTTTTTTTCGATGTTATGAACAAAATGTAAAAATTTTGGGAAGGTTTGGTCCGAAAATGTTTAATAATTATTTCTGTGATAGGACAGTCGGATTTTTGCAGCACTTTTCAAGTTACAGAGATGTTTTTACATAAATATTAATGCAAATTAAAATTTAATATCCCCGGGATAGTGTTGAACTTTTCACTTTTTCATTAAGGCATATTTTCTAATTATAGACATTACGTGGTGACGTCATGGTGAAGTGCTTACTGCATGTAGTATAAATTCCATTGAAGTCTATAGAATGCATAATAATAGCAAAGTTTTATTCTTAATTTTTCCGATTTATTAGTGTTACAAAATTATCAAAAAGTGTTAATTCGCCGAATTCTGATCCATGTGGTGCCTTAACATACCTGCGTAGTCGGTAAAAAAAAAAAAAATTGTCATTCTATTTTTAATGTTTCAATGCATCTTTCCACTGCATGATTTATTGATATTCAAATTATTGAAATTTTTATTTTGCAAAAACGCTTTTTCCCATAGACTTCAGTGCAATTTTTGTTAATTGCCTACTGCTAAATAAATGAGATTTTAAAAACTTTCTCGCGGGCAATTTTTTTCCACTATAAATTGCTTAAATATAATACCAGAGTATTATGTACTGGACGGACATTTAAGAGTAAGGAATTTGGTCCCATTAGGGATGGAAATCCTTAAAGGTGGTTATGACACCTAAATAAAAACTTTTCACTTCATTTTTCGATATTTGCCGAAAAAGATAACTACTCACAATGAAGGATATCTACTTATGTAGATTATTTCTTTTTATAAACTTTTGGTTAGAGTACGATTTTCTGTTGCTTTATATCTACTCAGATTTATATAAGCCATGCATATGTATTTTTAAAAATGTGAACTTTTTACTTAAAAAATCTTAAATCAAAGGACTGAGACGACAGGATGTCATGAAATTACAAATGGAGACGTTTCTTTGAAATGTCTGATAAATATAAAGAAATAAAAACTTTTAATAGAATATAAGGTGTGAATACACTGTACGAGTTATCTTTTATATTTATAATGATAGTTTAGTATATCTATATTTGCTACTTCTTTGAATTCCGTTATGAGTACTCCATATATTTTTCCTTATGAGTACTGTATGTTCTAGAAATGATTAAAGTAATCTTTATTGAAGTGGTAACATGCAGTTATTATTCGTATTATAGACTTTTTCCCTATTGTTACACACATGATGTTTATATGGACACTTCCGTACGAGTATCATGTGATCCATATTTTGTAAGCT